CACCTGGCAGGTGAGAAGGTCCATAGGCAGTGAATGATGATTTCTCTAGTATGATTTACAGTTATTGAATTGAACTGAATCAACACTGAACTGACTTGAGCTGAATAATGGTACTATTGTCTGTAGAGCTGCTTTACAGCAGAACTTGAATTTGTCTCATATTTGAAGAAGTTTGCATCATTGATTTTATTATTTTCCTGTTTACTACGGTGAAGCTGCTTTGAAATAATCAGTATTGTGTAAAGTGCTATAAAAACAGTAGTACTTTAAAAATCCAAAGTTGTGAAAGAATCGCATATATTCATAATGTGGGTTTTCTTACAGCAGTTTGAATATTGTTTGTGTTGTTGTTTATAACCCCTTATATAACATATTTTCCCCCACAGTCTAACCACAAGTCCCCCTGTGGTACAGGTGTCCATGTGCATGTACAGACACATTTAGTTTTGTCATTTTGATGTTCTGATAATTTGTCTGTTTTGATGCAGGAAGGCTTTGCGACAGGCTCTTTTGATCTCCAAGATATCCTGTTCTATGGCGGCTGTGGCTTCTCCATTATGCGCTGTATGAGCTTTGCCCTAGAGAACTGTGAGAAGAAAGATGGCAACTACAGTTTCCTGGATCTGATCAAGTACAACTTCTACCTCCCCTTCTTCTTCTTTGGACCTGTCATGACCTTTGATCGATTCCACGAGCAGGTGAGTCCTGTATTTTGAGAATGTCACAACTTCCTAACATTTTTCTCAAGAAAACAAGCATTTTAAAAGTCCAGTTTATGGAATCATGTAATAGTTTATATAAAACATAATCTATAAAATAGAATAAATAATTGTTATAGTGTTGATAATGTCACTCTGGTTAGGTATGCACTGTAATGATCCCTCTAATATTCTCAGGCTAACAACCCTAACTTGACTCGTAAAGAAAGAGAGATGTGGAACATCACCATTCATGCTTTGGTGCACCTTGGGGCTATTTTGGTGGTGGATGTCTTCTTCCATTTCTTGTACATTTTGACCATCCCTAACGATTTGAAGCTTTTGAAGCAACTGTCTGACTGGTCTCTGGGTCAGTACATAACTAGAAAAAACTGTAGACTTTTAGAAATTATGTTACAAGTAGTTTCTAATTATTTGTAAGTACAATTTCATTTGTTTACTATCACTAGTTGGTCTGAATGTTTTTGCTATTCAGCTGGCTTGGCGTACTCCAATCTGGTGTATGACTGGGTGAAGTCAGCCGTCCTGTTTGGTGTCATTAATACTGTATCCAGACTGGACCATCTTGACCCTCCTCAGCCTCCTAAATGCATCACAATGCTCTATGTCTTCGCTGAAACGTAAGCATAGTCATTAACAGAAGAGAAAAGAAAGAGTATGTTTTTGGAAGCAGTTGATGGCTGTGTAACCAGATCACATGTTTACAGTTTCTTCTGACATTGACTTTTTTAGGCACTTTGACAGAGGAATCAATGACTGGCTGTGCAAGTGAGCAAATAACCAATTCTATCTGTGTATCATCACGTATCATTTTTTAAAATATATATTTCTATAATAATCATATACTCAGGAAAAACATTCAACTTTACATGTATCTCCTGTTCTTTGTTAAAGATATGTCTATGACTATATCGGAGAAAACCATGATGCCATCTTCAAGGAGCTTCTTGCAACCATTTGCACCTTCGCTGTCACAACTCTGTGGCTTGGACCCTGTGAGCTGGTTTACATTTGGTCTTTCTTTAACTGCTTTGGCCTGAACTTTGAACTGTGGGTGGCTAAATTATTTTCTCTGCCACCGTTCTCCACCATTGAGGTAAGATCCCAAAGACGTTCAGTTGTGAGGGATTTGAGCATTTGGGTTTTGAATCATTACACTACCAATTGATTGTCTTTCAGTATTGCATCATGACTGATTAGCCTACATTTCACTGATATGAAAGGAACAGCATTCGCTTACCCTGAGTAATAATGTAATGTTAATATTTTTCCAGCGGAATCTTATGTCTGAGGCAATGTCACGTCGAATCAGGGGTTTGTTCAATGCTGTTAACTTCTGGCAAATTGTCCTGTACAACGTCTTGGCGCTGAACAGTCTGGATTTTGCCCAGCTGGTTACTAAGAGACTGCTTCTTAAAGGTAAGTGTTTTGTTTTAGACCAGGGGTGTCAAACTCAATTCCTGGAGGGCCACAGCCCTGCAGAGTTTAGTTCCAACCCTGCTCCAACACACATACCATGTAGTTTTCAAATAAGCCTGAAGGACTTGATTATCTGGATCAGGTGCATTTAAGTAGGGTTGAAGCTAAACTCTGCAGGGCTGTGGCCTTCCAGGAACTTAGTTTGATACCCCTGTTTTAAACCATTATATAATGAAAACGGAAAGAAAAGTAGCTAGAATCTTGTGCAGAATGTGTTTCTTACATATGTATTCTTTCTTACATATGTAAATCACTCATATATGATATATATATATATATACATCATACATATGAAAATATTGAAACATATAGTTGTATCAGCACAAAAACTCCAGAGGAATGGGGCAAACACAGCACGTACACAGAGAATAATAGCACCCTTGTGATTCCCTCAGGCTTCCCCTTGTCCACTCTCTCTGTGCTGTTTGTGACTTACTGTGGCGTGCAGCTGATAAAGGAGAGAGAGCGAAAGCAGGCTCTGCTGGATGATCCGGAACCAGTGCCGCCCATAGAGGCGAGCAAACAGAAGGCTGAGTAAAGGACAGAGAGGTCATTGAATCTGATCCAGCTCTTGAGGTCCCTCTTGTTAATTCTGCCTCTGAGCTTTCATGCCAGACCGATGCAGTCCCACCACTATGGTAACTGATTTGCACAAGTCTGTTTTAAAAACACAAGATGTTTTTAACTGTGAATAGTTCTGAAGTGCACTTGCTTTAGCCGAATGCAACCTGTTCTCTGACATACTCTAGAACAAACAAACCAACAAGTGCACCTTTTATTTATATTTTCAGTGGATATGGCTATTTAAAGAATGGGCTTGCCAAATATTTTATGAATAAATAATATATTGAACAATAAAATAAAAATATACAATGTTGTTGTCTTTTATTTCATTACTCTTAATATGTTTACAGCAGTGTAATTTGAGTATTGAGACTATTATAGTTTCTAATAATATTTTGAATTAGTTTTTATTTTCACACGTTTATATATGTTGTGTTTTTGTCATTTTTACTAGTTTTTCTTTTAAAAATGTCTATAATTTTTATTAATTTCAGTGATTCATTTTACTACATCATTTTAGACACTAAAAATGAGAAATGATTCCTCAACAACTAGTTGAAATAAAGATTCTTAAATCGTTTTTTAAAATATTGTATTTAAATTAATGTTTATTTTTATTATCAACTTCTTAATGGTTTTAATTTCAGTTTTAGTTAACTATAATAGTCCTGGTTTACAGCCATTATTATTACACAAAACATACATTCTAGGAACATGTTAAACGTATGTATTTTTATTTTACATAGTTCTGAACTACTTATAAACAATAGTCACAATGATGCCCCATTAAACCACAGAAAGCTTAGTCACTTCACCACATTAAACTTTGTGCAGTCACATTTTTCTGTTACTCATGTCACAATCTAGCAAATGATACGGTGTGAACACATTCCCCTATTAGGCTTTGTCCTACATTGAGCTTTGAATGGCACACTAGAGATTTGAGTTGATTAATGGGCCTAAAATATACACTGATGAATACTGTAGGTCTGCTATGCTGTTATCAGCACACAATTACATATCTCCTAGTTTTCAGTCTCCCTTTGGATTTTTTGTCACCTTACATGGGTTATTAGCTCAAATTAGAATTTCCCTGGTCGTCATATACACTAAAAATAAACTTTTTTCTTTTGCCTTATGGTTCCATGAAGAACCTTTATTATCCATGGAACCATTTCATCACACAGAATGTTGAAGTATTCTTCAAAGTATTCTTCAGATTATTCATCTAATTTAGACTAAGAAAAAATAGTTCTTTTAAGAACTATTGACTGAAAGGTTTGAGGAACTCGAAAGGATTTTTCTATGTCATCGCTACAAAAACTTCCCTTTGGAAACCTTTATTTTTAAGAGTGTGCCTTTAGAAAGTTTATAACTTCAAACTGGAATTATTTTATTAAATATCTACTTACAGAAATGGCTTTAAACAAATACCTGTTTGTGATTAATTGGTACAAGGTGAAAATGTAAACAAGCTATAATAACCTAGTGGTTAGCACATGTGTTCAAACATATTATGCCATGGGTCTCAAGTGAGGGATGCAAGTTTTCTAATCCGGTTTTCCCTGCCATCTTCAGTCCTCCCTATATGTAAAAATGTCAAAACAACGAAAATGTAATGCATTCTACTGGAACTGGAACAAATAAAGCACTGTTGCACTCATGGTGCCGAGGTTCAGGTCTAGCCTGGGACATGTCCTGTTCCCCCTGTTGTAAATTCAAAGATTAGCAATGCTTGCTACTATGAATTGATGCTAAGAGATGTAGAAGCCCACAATTCCGAGTTGCTCCACTAGAGGGCACCACTAGATGGACTTTATCTCCCAAAGCAACAGGCAGTTCTATTTCTGAGTGTCTCATTTTGAAACTAGTCTTAAATGGGTCTGATTTCCATCTTTTCTTTCACTCTGTAACATTCTTTTCAAGCTGTTCACATTTCACAACCATCTTGTGGTGCTCTACTCTCCTTCTCCATAAGATCTACAACTTAATATTCCCAGTGAGCAACATGTCAGCTGTTGGTCTGATCTATTTGGTGGGGGGAAGGAAGGGACAGCTTGTATTTCAGGCCCTAAGTGTGGTTCATTTACGCATTTCTATATATAGATGGACAGTCAGTAGTTGATAGCTTGTGACAGCTGAGGAGCTGAGGCCACACCAAAGCGTCACATCCTCCGCCATTTCTCTTTTAGAGTAACAGTGTTAATACAGTCAGTTCAGTTCTGCAGTGGAAGAGGACCAGGAATACCCCTCCCTCCTACTGAAATATCACATCAAACCATAACAAGATGGCCTCCTTGTCAGTGGATCCAGTGACGGAGCCACGGATGTACCAGCAAACGCTCCTACAAGATGGGCTCTGTGATCTCCTGGATGCTAACAAGTTTGTGGACTGCGTTCTGAAGATCAAAGACAAAGAGTTTCCTTGTCATAGGCTAGTGCTAGCTGCTAGCAGCCCTTACTTCAAAGCCATGTTCCTTTCAGACCTGGAAGAGAGCAAAAAGCGGGAGATTGTCCTAAAAGACATCGAACCTGGAGTCATGGAAATGATCCTGAGGTACATATACACCTCGGATATCAACCTGACTGAGCATAACGTCCAAGACATTTTCATGGCGGCCAACATGTACCAGATTCCATCAATTTTCAGCGTGTGTGTCTCGTATCTGCAGCAGAAGCTGGTTCTTGGTAACTGTCTGGCCATCTTTAGACTGGGACTGTTGCTGGACTGTCCACGTTTGGCTATGGAGGCTCGGGACTTCATCTGTGACCGGTATGCCCTCATCATTCGGGACCAGGACTTCCATCAGTTGGGTCCCAGCGAGTTGGCGGCTATCATCACATGTGACTCTCTGAATGTGGAACGAGAAGAGTTGGTGTTTGAATCTCTCATGGACTGGGTGGAGTTCGACACGGGAGAGAGATTGAATGACCTGCCGCAACTTCTACACTGCATACGTTTCCGTCTTATACCGACGAGTTACTTTAAAGAGAAAGTCGAGGGCCACAGATTGATCAGGACAAATCAGGAGCTCGAGAAGGAGCTTCAGATCGTCAAGGATGCACAGAAAGGAGTGCTACACAGGGTCAAAAGGGTCAAGAAGGAAGGCGAGACAGCAGATTCTGAGGACGAGGATGAGGGTATGCTGCCAGGAATCCTAAATGACAATCCACGTTTTGGAATGTTTCAATCAGACCTTTTATTGATGATTAGTGATACAGGAACGGTAGCGTATGACGTTGATGCAAACGAGTGCTTCGTGGCATCTTCATCCACCGAGATCCCTAAGAACCATTGCAGTCTTGTCACAAAGGAAAATCAGATCTTTGTTGCTGGAGGTCTGATGTACAACGAAGAGAACAAAGAACAGCCGTTCAGTTCCTACTTTCTTCAGGTAACGCATGGTCAAGTCTTGCTAATGTTGCTAAATATATTTGTAACAAATCAATGACTCAAAGCATCATGAGTCTCTGGTTCCAAAAATACATTTGTGAGAATGACCCACAGGGTCCATTTTGCTTCAGAACAGCTGTTAAAGCTTTGAACCTCATGTTGCCTGCATGACATTTTCCTCATGTAATTCAAGAGAAACCTTTGAAGGGATTGTGTAGGATGAATCAAACTAATAACTGTATTTGTATGAGAAAGGAACAATGCTTTTAGATCATGATATTTTAATCTGAGCTCTTCTTCATCCTACAGTTTGATCCCATGAGCTCTGGATGGTTGGGGATGCCCTCACTACCAGACCCTCGGTGTCTGTTCGGTCTGGCGGAGGCTGAGAACTCCATCTATGTGGTGGGAGGAAAAGAGCTGAAGGAGGGAGAACGTGCACTAGATTCTGTTATGATCTACGACAGACAGTGAGTACAAGCATATAGCAAATAACATACATTGACAGAGCTCGTAGTAGCAGCGGTTTTCAAACTGAAGGCGGGTTGCACAAAGTGTGAGAATGTTGATGCGTTCATGCATGCCAGAAATATGAATAATGTAAGTTCTGAAATTCTCAGTTAAGATTTATTTCTAATTTTTTTAACATGACGCACTAAATGCATATCTGTCAACCCTCCCGTTTTCCCCGGGAGTCTCCAGTATTTCACACCCATCTCCCACTCCCCTCCCATTTTGTTATTTCGCCAGGTAATTTTAATTGCCCAAACCTCGTTATATGAATAGTCCCATCAATATATTATTCCAAGATCATCCATTTGCCAGATCTAATTTGAAACTCATCCTACTCACACATTTGACACATCATACAAATTTCAACCCATTTATGACCTCAACCTGGCAACCTACAACCTTGCACTGTTGATATCTGTGCAGGTAGTGGATGTATAGATCAGTCTAACGAATCCTTCACTGAATGAACCAGAGCTACAACTGAATCAACAATCAATCATTTGACTCACTTTGCATTGACATTTCACAGTTCCATGTCAATAAATAATTAGTTACTTCAATACAGCCATTCGGCCAATCTTAGTTTTCCCTCTCATATTTCACTCTTTTTGGTAGATCTTGAGATTGATTATACCTCTCCAGGTCGGCTCTTGCCATAACCCCTGATCAACAGGATGTTGTCTGTCATGGCTGAAGGCTGATAACTATACATTTTCACACAGGTCATTCAAATGGGGAGAGTCAGACCCTCTTCCATACGCAGTTTATGGACATGGAATTGTTTCACACAAAGGACTGGTCTATGTGATAGGTGGCAAAACTGAGAGCAAGTGAGTAAGGAATCTGGTTTTATCATACTTTACAAACACACTATGCCAGGTTGTCTTTGGTTTTCATAACCAGACTTGAAATGTGATGTACAGGAAATGCCTGAGGAGAATATGTGTCTATGACCCCTCTAAGTTTGAATGGAAGGATCTGGCACCCATGAAAACCGCCCGCTCGCTGTTTGGCACTGCTGTTCACAAAAACAAAATCTATGTGGTGACTGGAGTCACTGATAACGGCCTGACTAGCAGTGTGGAGGCCTATGACATCGCCAGCAACTCGTAAGTCACACTTTTGTCAAGACTCCTTAACACAGGCAAGTTGCTCACTTGTGTGTCTCCTGCTTAGCTGGTCAGAGTTCGTGGAGTTTCCTCAGGAGAGAAGCTCTCTTAACCTGATCGAACTGGGCGGCTGCTTGTATGCTATGGGGGGTTTTGCTATGATGCCCAATGAGACCACAGAAAAACTGGAGCCCACTGAAATGAATGACATATGGAGGTGAGTATTTATGTTCAGCTCAAACTGGTTTAATGAGACTTATTGGCCTAATGAAACTTGGTCATATATTTGAAACTAAAGTTGAAATTTGAGAATTAAATTGCGATTTGCGTGACAGGTTTGAGGAGGAGGAGAACTGCTGGAATGGGATCCTGAGGGAGATCCGTTATGCTGCAGGGGCCACAGTGGTTGGAGTGAGTCTGAACACCTTGAGACTCACAAAGATGTGATCTACAGCTGTCATCTATTGACAGAATACACAGTAAACAATGTCACCCACATCTTCATAAAAGAGCAATACATATTCCATTGAATCATTTGTCAGACTTATAGTTAGTTTGTGATTGATCTTAGCAGTGTTTGATGCTGCTGTTCCAAGAAAACTCAGCAGATGGAGACAAACACAAGACCATCTATTTTTTTTTCATAAGAATGCTTTGTTAGTCATTTTGGGTAATTAGATGTTGTTGAATAATTTGACTTATTTAAATAACCATGTACATTGATTTCTATCATTCTATTATGTTATTTTAGATGACAACTACAATTGAACATTTTGCAATTATGACCAAGTACAATGTTCTTACATTCAAAAAAGAGAAATAAATGGCAGTGACTGAACAATAACCTAATCTACTGTAGACAATGACCAAACTAAAAAACACGAACAACAAAACACAATCGTCTGTGGTAAATGTCAACACAAATATTGTCATACACCCTCCAAAGCCACATGAAAATAAAAAAGTAAAGTTGAAAGAATACAAGGATTTTCTATTCTGTATGCCATCTGATACTGCTTGACATCATGACTTTCATGATGGGTCCTGGATGAAGCTTCAGAGTCATTTTTTCATCATGAATAATAAACAGCTAGTGCTGCGAACACAAACTCTCTGGATTAAAGAGATCTGAACACCTCTCGGGTTTTGGAACATTGTGCATAGACCAAAATATTCATATAATTACATAGACAGAAATGAAAACATTACAGCAATAAAATAAGATTGAAATTCCCAATGGTAACACTTTACTTGAAGGGGTGTGCATAAGACTGACATGACACCTTCATAATCACGACATGACACATGTCATGAATATGAAGGAGGTTTTATGCATGTTTATGACAACTGTCACTAAGTGTCATTCGCTCAGTTATGTAATTTTTAATGCAAATATGACATTATTTGACCTAACCCTAACCTACCCCTACCCCTACCCCTACCCTTACCCCTAACCATAGCCCATAACAAAGACATCTCAAACAATGTCATCTTTGCATTAAAAATTACATAACTGAGCGAATGACACTTAATGACAGTTGTCATAAACATGCATAAAAACCCTTCATATTCATGACATGTGTCATGTCATAATTATGTAGGTGTCATGTCATGATTATGAAGGTGTCATGTCAGTCTTATGCACACCCCTTCAAGTAAAGTGTAACCTTCCCAATTCATAAAAAATATTGTTGTGTAAAAACATTTACAGATCTGAAACTATAAGATTCTTGTCTACAAGTGCAAAAATGAGCAGTTAAAAACAATAAAAAATAGATTTTTAATTTAGAAGATCAAACATTAGAGTCTGCGTGAGACTGTGAGAAGTGGATAAACACTAAATAGTGGAGAACAACTGTTTTTTCATTAATAATATATAATACAATCTCTACCAATTCACCTGTTAAATGGCTGCTGTACGTTCAGCCCAAACACATTCATGAATATGAACATCACCAAAAACACAAACCATCAAGGTTTTTGAAAATGTTAACAAAACAAATGAGCCATATACGTGAGCCGTATACATAAATTTCCATCTGTTGACAACATACAAATTGTAGTCATTCACAATTTCAACAACATTTCGATTTTTAAGGTGCTTCAGAACAAATACAACAAACAGAAATGATAAAACTATGACAAAATGTAAGGGCTAAACAAATATTTATAAAACCCTTTACACCAACAAGCCAGTAAAGTGCCAGAAACAGAATCTACTGACTGCACATCTCCACCACCAACAAGATCTGTGTTACTCACTTACAAGTCTCCGACTACCCAGGATTAATTCGTTTTGGAAATCGAGTTATTGGTTGCGCTTAATGTTTTTTATTCACTAAAAAGAACCTGTTCATAAGAGTCATTTCTTCAATAATCAGACTACACAAGTAATGTTATGTTTGTTATATTGTGCAGCCGGTGAGGACAGCTCAGCTTTTGTTGTGTTGCTGAGAGGAAATGCTGATAAAGGGAAGATTCTAATTATGCAAATATATACAGTATATATATATATATATATATATTAGGGGTGTAACGATACACCTATTCGCATTGAACCGTTCGGTACGCATTACAAACCGAATGATTCGTTGGACTATTCCTATTACAGCATATTATTCTAGTAGGTTAGATTAGTGCGAGTGCGCATTTAGAGTGTGTTCTTTCACTGCATGATTTAGTCTATTAAAATGCATTTAGAGTGATCACAAATTCAAGATATGGGGCAGAAACTTTATATATTTACATAATTTCATATAGTTAATCAATATCACAGAAGAGTGCCGTTTTTTCTCTCTCCAAAAATCAGCATGATTACACATGATTTTTACAACAGTTCAATAAATATATATACTGTATAGAGAGAGATTTTCAAAATAATTCAAATCAAGGTAGCAGTTATCTGTATTTTACCATTCCTTATTGCTTACCTACTGTACATCAGTGACTATATCTAGGCCTACTTGTAAAAGAATGACACTTAATGAATTTGCTTAAACTAAAAATAAAACATCGTTTTAATAAATGTTAATAATCAATATCACAGAAGAGTGCCGTTTTTTCTCTCTCCAAAAATCAGTATGATTACACATGATTTTTACAACAGTTCAATAAATATATATACTGTATAGAGAGAGATTTTCAAAATAATTCAAATCAAGGTAGCAGTTATCTGTATTTCACCATTCCTTATTGCTTACCTACTGTACATCAGTGACTATATCTAGGCCTACTTGTAAAAGAATGACACTTAATGAATTTGCTTAAACTAAAAATAAAACATTGTTTTAATAAATGTTAAC